GAGAGACTTGACTTGGGTGGTGAAGGTACGGAGTACCTGGAAGGGGGGAGGTCCAAGAATCTCGGTCCAATTGAGAGCTCCGGTGACATTGCGGATCCGGGTTGTCGACCCCACCCGGCCGCATGTGGTCTGTGTCACCTCAACTCCACAGTCCCACCGTTCCGTCTCGTCGTTTCTTGGTGTGCCGTCCATCTCCAGCTACCACAATATGTACGCCCAAACGTTGAAACAAGCCACCAGCAACAACACCACCGAATCCTACACTATGTGCTTCTCTGATAGTTCAGTCCTGCAGTCCAGACTGTCCAGTCCACCTCGTCCACCACCCTCCACCGGACCAGGCTCCTGACTCCTCCCTCATCCTCGGCTTTACCTGCCTGCCCTTGCAACCCCCTTCCCTGTTCGGTTTCTGCCTGCCGGCGGATGGTGGGTAGTTACCAACTTGCGCGAGTCGATTTGCAGCATATCTTGCGGAGCTATCCAAGCCGCACTTGGGGTCTTCTACATCATCCTTGCTCCCTCACTATTGACGATGTCAGTTGAGACATGAACCAGCATGAAAACGGATTGGCGCTTGGCTGTGGCGCTTAAGGCGATGCCGTTACAGCGTCACTGATACCTACCAGAGGCCATGACCGCTATTGAAACAGGCTGACTTTTCTGACAGAGCCATGGAAATGAGCGCATTACCCCATTACCTAGCTATTCACGCTATTGTTGCTGGTCAGGCCTCTCCTCCTTCACTGCATTAGCACCTGTCGGTGTTCCCATATCCCCGTTTGTGTTACCGTGACCACGTTACCGCCTTGAGTGAAAAACAGCCCCCAAAGACCCCAAATGACCCTTGGCCCCCTTCTCCAGAGTCCAGATACCTATCTAGCCACCTAGCGCATCGAGTGACATATCGCTAGTCGCCTTACCTAAGTCGCTCACGATCGGTTGTCTTTAGTCTGTGCTGTTCATGAACATCATGTCTTGGCATGACTAGATGGCTACCCTTACTATCATGAGTCGCTCTACTTCCTATGCTCAAGACGATTCATTTTGTTTCATGATATGCATTCTCAAAGTCCTGCGAGTGCCTCCTCAGATCTCAAATTGGGTTTCCTGATTTAGAAGGCCGGTGATAGGCAGGTCTCACTCACAATACATAGTGCTTGCCTGTCTCTGTTCCACGAATACATTTGCCCCTTGATGTCTCCAATTTCCAATTCTACGTGGGCAAGCGAGACCGAGACGGAGACGTTAGCATAGCAATGGAAGGCAGCAAGGCTTATTGCCAGTTTCCCAAAAGGATACGGGTTTAAGACAATGGTACCTGAGGCCGCGCATGGCAAGCATTCTGAGAAATGAGCTTGGCACCTTCCGTGCCAATATATCCTTGTCGTCTTATTGCATTTCTGTCATCTACGGATGCAGTGCAGTTCTTTCTTGTCCACTGCCCGACTCCAACTCCAATCCAACACCAACATCAATGCCTGACGTCGAAACGGTCAACACAAACCCGTATTGGCTCCGAATCGTATTCCATGCCCTCCCTTCCCTGCCTTGCCATCTATCTCCGTTAGCAACAGCATCAGGCAGGCGACCTGTCACAATACATGACTTGTTAGCCACACCAGCAACCTCGGATCATCTTTCGCATACCATGCAGCTGCGTGAGGAGCCAGCAAGCTAACGAGCATCAGCATGACCTTGACCTTGTCGACAACATCCAAGAAAGAAAAGAAAAGTGGTAGCCTCGGAGGCAAAGTTAGTTTCTTTCATGAGCAGACAGACTCGTTTACTGGTCGGCCATCTCCAATCACATCTTGGCGATTGAGCATATCCCATCGGCAGGAGGATTTCCAACATCATAGTCATGCCATCGAATGACTTGCTTCACCCTTCAATACTGTACCACGAGGCACACACCCCCGAACTTCCGCTGCAGGTGTTCTGATGAGATCATCGAGCCGGACCAGTCCAACTAAGCTCGAGTCGTACAAACTTGTCGAATCCGGTACCAGCCTCAGCCCGTATTGGTAGACGGAAACGACAACTGGCTGTGCAACCCATGGTACCCATGCGAAAGACCCTGGCTCTGCTAGCTTGCCGGCATGACTTGGGATCCTTCGCCTGCTACCTACTATCACCACCAACTCGTCTTAGGTAGTGCCCGCCAACGAACGTTGGTTGTGGTTTCACTGGCGATTTGGTTACCCATTCGCAAGGCTCGAGTCGGGCCAATGCAGGCGCCCGTTGACCGCTGAAGGCCGTTTTGCGCTCGAGTCGCAACGGGATGCGCTGACCCCGGCCTGCTGACAACGACGCCGCCTACTTCCGACTTGGTAGACGACATCCGATTCCAGAACCCCGCTTACCCGCGAACCTGGGCCCATGGCATTGGCTGTCTTTGCGGTATTGGAGTAGTTCTTGTCTGTCCAATCAAGACCTACTCACTCCACAATCGTAGGGCCAGGACCACGATCACGATCGCTGCCCATGCAAGGCCACACCCCCAGTGCCTGCACGCATGCCCTTTCCTGGTCGTTGCCACATCGTGGCGAGTTGCTGGCCTGCTGCTCCTGGCCGTTAGTAGGAGTTTCAATCGGTCTCACCTAGCATCCAGAGGGCCAGTTTGCCCGACACCAGTCCTTTGGCACTGCTTTATCGGTACAAGGCCGACTTGACAGGTCGTGGACTGCTGGGAAATGGCCTGCACTATTGAGAATACCCTCGGACGCTACCACATGGCTTTTTCCCGACTCATGTTCGACATGGAAACAATCAGCCACAGGCCGGATCAGGCATATACATTTGCATTAGTCCCGTCGATCCAGGAAACATCCAAGAGAAAGAGCGTTTATTGCTGGCTACTGATGACCACTCGTTATGCTTTCAAGCCATGGGAACTCCTATCGATGCCAAAATTACCGCGAAAAATTCATATGCGCCAAAATCTTTGCCCGAGACCTGCCACGCCTGCGGTCACCCCGTCCTGTCAAGTGCCGATCGCTTAGTCCGTTCCATCGGCTCTGCGACAGCCTAGACAATGGTCGAGACCGTCTATTCGGTTCCACATTCGGCGGTGGCAGACTTTTTGGCCTTTTTTGCGGCTCTATTCCTGAAATATCCCTTCTTCGTTGAAGTGTCCCGGACGGAGTGAAGCTTTCAACCGACTCGGAGTTCACCGTCTACCGGTTGTACTGAGAACCTGTTAGAAATTGTTCCCGCGTTTACGATTCCTGCTTAACTTACGACGACACAATCTTCGCAGCGTGCACCATGAACGTTGACCCAACCAGGGCAGTCAACGCCATGCTTGTATCTGTTGACGCAGGGGTATCGGTCCATATTGAATGGTTCTTCGGAAAGGTTCGAGTCTGAAGGTGTTCGTTGAACAGCTGAGTGTTGTTGGTATGAGAGTCTGGATGAAGCTCGAGTCGTATTGCTGGATGTTTGTCTGTGTTTCGGAATGGACAAGCCAAGTTCAGCAACGAGTTGCGAGAGGGCCCTCTTTATACTTTCGAGGTCGGCCTTCGGCTTCTGGAAATCGCACAAGTCCTTCTAGTTGCCTACGTCTGCCTTGCACACTTGCAGGATCATGTTTACAAGAACGTCGAAAAGGTTGCAGTCTGCATGCTTACTGCACGCAGACTGCTAATTACGGCAGATTCTCCTTTGGACATAGAAAAGTCAATGACCCTCGCCTTGGAGCAACTACTCCATACCCACTTGATACTATACACCCGCACGAGGCGAAGCATGACTTCAACCGTGGCCCATGCTTCCACTGAAAGCAAATGTCGCGGATTGGCTGCTTCATAGACGTGGCTTGGAGAGAGCAAAAGAGGAAAATGAAAACTGACAGCAGAGTTGCAATGTCAGTTAACAACTTTCGCTACCCGGGTTTCCCGGTGGAGGGTAGTCCTATCCCCTCCTCGGCGACGTGCTGGCCCCTCAACCTTCTGGGTGGATACGCCAAGTATGCCTCTCAAGTCAAAGTCAGACATAATACTTCCATATAGGCGAGCTCGAAAGGATCCTGGCCGCTGGATCTCAATTTTCGGCTTGCTGCAGGGTATCGTCCAGAACGGACCCCGGAAGCTCGTGCGACATGAGACGCATCCAGGACGCCCATGAGGCTCAAAGGGGTGCAGTGATGGGCATCGTGATCTGCAGGAGCCCGCGACCTGACAGGCGGGGAGGGACGGATGTGAAGCCGTTGACACCACCAAAGACGCGGGCCAAGGTGTACAAGAAAATTCGTCTTACCAAGCACTAAACCAACCTTCAACAACGTTCACGCGGTCATTCTAGGGGTCCTTTCTGAACTATATTCCATCAAAACTCAGCCACTGAACGCCGTCCCGAATAACCGCAGATTTGGATGGTATGCTGCGGTACGGTACCAGAACGATGCGGAGTGACGGGCGGAGGGGTACCGGCGGCATATGCAGAGACTAATGTACTATCTTCTCCATGGCACCACAGCAGCTGCATGCCGGCCTTTTCAGTCTCGCTGACCATCCTGGTTATTCAGCTAATGCAGAGTCGTCCCGAAAGAGTCGAGCCGTCGAGGATCCTTCGCAAGAAAACCACGCGCCACGTTGTATCAGACAAGGCAACGCCGCCGTACTTCCCCTCATTCAAGGTTTGGAGCACGCAAAAGTATGCACCATAAACTTGGGATCGAGAGCGGACGTAAGAAATCAGGAGACTTGAGGACAAGTTATGGCCGATACAAGTTTTCTGGCCTCTGTTGCCTTAATAAATCAACTCGCCTATAGAGTTGGCTTGTACAGCTCCATGTTTCACCGACGGTAACCTCGATTATGTTTTCCGTAATTCGAATTGGCACGGGACCAAGATGATGCCGACCAAGCGACGTCTGTCCATGGCTAGGGGAGCTTACTGGATCATTCATCAGAGTCAACTCCCAATCAACATACCAGGTAGTCAGCTGCGCAAATCGGTTCGACAATCTCCATCGCGTATCTGTACCTGGGTTCAACACGATGATCCTCGTACGAGACGACCACGTCGCTACACATGGAACAGCGGATCCCCATGATAGTCTGGCGGGAAACAGTGGGACAGAGCCCGTTGAAGGTATGCGTGTGGGTGTGAACTGCCTCGAAGGATACTTTGGGTATCTCCAGCAAGTCGGGTGGGACGACTCCTCCGAGTACTGCGCAAAGCATCACGAAGCATGGTCTCCGCTTTCAACTGCCCTCAGAAGCGGTTCCATGATAGACGCCCGGATTCTTCTCGGTAACGTAGCCTCTGGACGGGAACTAAGTTCCGGGGAGTCTAAGCCAGACCCGTCCTGAGTTGCTTTGAGCGCCGTGGAAACTCATAGACGGCCCCTGAAATTTACGATTCGCCCGTTCCAGGTGTGCCGGACCAGCATTGACAGAGAGAAGAATGTCTGCCCAGCCAGCCATGGCGGATCGGCCGAGGCGTTTGTGTCTTTGACTTACGGGGCGGATGGCCGGAACATTTCGCGGGGCGCCTCGACAGCTCGTCATCTACTGAGGAGCTTTCGAGGAAGTCTCCCAGGAAGTGCTGATAAGAACGACTACATGAGGAAAGCCGAAGTCATCGCGCAATTCCCATGACACATCTCGGGATAGAGCCTGGGTAGCTGGCAGCTTCCCCACACGGGCTATTGCTGTGTCACTGCCACTCTGGCCACCGGAACTACCCATCAACGACGGAGGGAAGTGTGAGCTATCACCAATGTCTTTGCTGGCTCGGAGACAGAATGGAACGCTCTGTCGTTGAATGGCACCTTGATCCGTTGGCTCAAAGCTGTGGCGGTCCCAATGTGCGCGTAACTGCATCAAGCAAGCTATCCTAGCGGTGGCGCCAGAGCAACATGGCGTAGGTCATTTACTTGACGGCAGGGCGACGCCCCCCGCAAGATAAGAATGCAGTCTTTTCTGAGTTGGGAAAAGAAACTGTGATCTACGAGACATAGCATCATGCAGATATGGTCTCGACACCTTGGCTAGCATGCCTATAGGCAGGCTCCTGCTCATTCCTCCTGAAGAGGATGTAGGAGCAAGTAGCACTTGTCTGCTGGAATGTCTGGCGAACTGGAGCATGGGGGAAACGGGCGCGATGACACTATTCCCATTCGGACTTTATTTATATCTCGGCGGTGATTCGTCGACAGCGCCTCAACCCCTCTCGTTGAACGTCGCCTGGATGCCGAGCTCTTTTGTTTTCGAGCAAGTGGGCAACGTGCGTGTTGTATGGTTTGGCCGCATACTCCGGGGCTTCCTGCAGATTCTCAGGCTGACGCGGTAGACTCGAATACCTCAAACTTGCCGACAAAAAAGAATTCGCGGATCGCACCTGTACGAATGGGTCGCGAATGTCGGCAGACGCTCTGCTGAGCTCAGAATTCCTTGACCAAGTGGTCATGAAGACGGGATGCAGACGGCTTTACCCGAAAGCATGCCCGAAGGCTTCGACAACGCTAGTCGGGATGTCACAATGACATGGCCTAGCGTTGTGGCTCTGTGAAAGTGATAAAGAGCGTTCCTGGCGTTTCAGTGGACAACCATCAGGGATAACCTCTGCTTTGACTCGACTCCTCTCTCTGGCCCCGTTCAAGTTTCAACTCACGGGTCCCCGACTTCGGTGCTAGGTGCGTGTGGAAACTTGAGTACTTGGGATACAGGAGCCTTGGGCGCAGTCGGACAGAGACGAGGGGCCGCCGTCGAGACAACAGAAGAGAGCCGACCTGGCGTCTTCTGCCTTCTTTCCAGAATGTCCAGCTGACGTTACATGTGCAGCAAGCGGCGGCATATTAGTGCCCACGGCTCGGCGAATGGACGGAACAACACTGGGTTGGTATTATCCTTGGGACGAAGGTTGGGCTACCGGAGCACCGACTTCGTAATGTCCACAACCGGTAACATGCCCGTCGTCTCTTCTGGCCTCGCCAGCAATGGTCTCTGATTAACTTCTGGGTAAACTCGCCCACCCCTGAAAGCAGAAGCTCCATGGTCTTCGGCAAGTAGGCGAAGACGAAGCAAACAGCAAACGATGGAGAGGTTCCCTTGCTAAACAGGGCGCCAAGCTCACCTGAAGAGTTGCCTTCGATGATACATCTGTGAAAGGTGAGCAACCGGGTTCACGGGGCTTCAAGTTACCACCCGTGGCTACGACGGTTCCGTCTGCGGTTGAGGGCATGGCCCAGGCAGGTCTAATGGCCAGTAGGTCGCCCTACAGTCCGTAGGAACCGGGGCGCGGAGACCCATGCATAGGCTATAGTACCAGCAGGACCTACCTTGGTGCGGCCCACGGTTCCCAGGAATCATCCAGCACGCACGATGCGCAGGACTGGAAATGGTGTCAAGAAAGACTTTTCACGCCCCTTCCCTTGCCTTATCCCCGCCGACTAAAGAGGATCCGCTCAGTCTCTTCAACCTCTCAGAAAGTCGACGGAGTATACCCCGACCCTGGTATTTACCGAATAGAATTTGAGTTGCAAAGAGGCAAGAGACAAGCAGGAGACAAGAGCCTAGCTTCAACTAGAGCGGCTTCGTTTCTGCAACCCGCAAAGTATGTTGAGGTGCCGAAGCGACTTGGCCTGGCACACACCTACGGATACCCATTGCAGAGGATCACCGGGGCTGTTGGGTCGTCCGCTCGCCTGTCTGACTTGCAGCGGAGGAGAAGCAGCGTCCTTACCTAGGAGAAGGGGCAGAAAGGCTGAAGGGGCAAGGAGGGACCCATTCGTCGACGACCCCGGGACCCGGGGCTATGTACTGCGTGCAGCCATGCTAAACGGGACCAGAGACTTCCTACTTTAGCGGCCGCTGCATCCTGGCCAAGATTTGGGACGACTAGGTTGGCGTTGGTATCTCGGATCCGGACGGACGACAGTGGATTCCAAGAGACATGGGGACTCCGCCGTCTCTATGTCGCAGTTGCCAGGAAAGGGACAGGTTGAGTTGATCATTGACGTGGGCAATCAAGAGATCGAAGAGTTTTGACACTATGGAAATTCGGTGGGGGCTTTGGAGAAAACCAAATATTGCCCATGTCTCCAGTACTGTCCAAGCGATAGTTTGGTGGCCTCTCTTCTTCAGCAGTAGGACTCGGAGCACAGTCTCTCTCAATCTTTCCTCGCCTAGCTGACTGACACCTGGATACCCTCTCGAATCTGCTCGGTACCTTTACGGCGTGGATAGCAGGCGTTTACGAGGCGTCGTGGCTGGCACTTACATCAACACTCGAGAAGGACCATCGAGATCCCCGCTCGCTGGCTGTTTTTTTTTCTTGTCTTCTGCAGGTTTTACCCGGCAAAAGAGGGGAGAGGAGTCAAGTAGGAGGATCTGCAACGCAACTAGGGAGCGAACGCGGAAAAGGGGACCTTGCATCTGCCCAGAATTTGATGCGTGCTTTTTGGTGCGCTTCCGGCTTCCCTGGTGTTTCTCGCCTGAGTGGGTTACTGTGTATGTTCCAACGTATTATGGCCCGCCTCAAATGTGGCTCGACAGCGTTGGCTTCTTCCTCTGCTGGCTGTTCTTGGTCCGTCATGGGACGCCGGCCGGCGGGTGAACGGTAGACGCGGTTCCCTCGCTCACTCCGCCGCGCCCACGTCAGACGGTCAGACGCGGGCCGTCTCCGGAGCGCCATCAGGCCAGCCTGGAACGATGTGTCGCCTACCTCGCCTGCGCTATCGAGATGAAACGAGTTGTTGAGATGGTCACCTGCGATCGAGCACGTGTCTGAGCTCGAGGAAAACGATACAACAAGCGGGTTCTTGGCGTGATATCCACAGTTGCGAAAAGCCTCGTTTCTTTTTTATTTCATGTTCTCCCACGAAAAGACCAAGACACAGAGTGATACCGTTCTGCGAGTCAGACTGCGAACCGGGGGGCAGATGTTCTGCCTTGTTCCGACCCGAGAGTCACCCATGGACGATGGACCTCAGGAGAGTATTGTGGATTTGTGCCAATTTCATCACAGTTTTCTCTTTTGACATTCTGGTCACCGAGGCTTAGCCAGGCGCCCCCATCGCCATTGCATGCAGAGACAATTGGTAGCTCATCTGTAGTACGGAGACACATGTTGGCTGCTGCATCCACACGCTTCTGTCACTGCCTGCCACACGAACATGGCTGGGAATTGGCTTGCTGTATCTGTACGGATACTGTCCCACATTCATTAGAGGTAACGACATGACGCTCTGATTCGCCAGGGCAAGGGGACTGGCCGGTCGGCACCCAATCACTCGGTGCCCCCAGACGGAGCGGTATGCTGCCGTACGGCGTGCCACAAGGTTACACTCTGTCCCTGCGAGCGGATTCAACGACGGCGACGGTAATAGCTTTTTTTGCCATCAGGAGACAAGGACCCAGAGGGAAAGTGGACTTGAGTTGACGTAGGTAGGTCATGGCCCGCCGTTGCACGAGGTGAGGGAATGGATCCTCACCCGTAGCAGCTGTCGGGTTTGACAAAACGGGCAACGAGAATAGCCCGGATGAGAAACGCCCGCCCACCGGGCAGAAACTTCCTCGGATTCTTGAGACTGCCGTGGGTGGTTCCTTGAGTCCTGATACCAGGGAGCGTGTTCTTTGACCGCTGATTTGAAGGACGCATGGTAAGGAGGAACGACGCGCGACGATGCTGTCTGATGGGCGTCTTCCTCAGCATCGGCATCGTTCCACATTGAATGTGGGCACCTTTTTTTGTTTGATTCAGTGACGATGGTGTATCGCGTATGTCCATGTGCGTACAGATACATCGGCCTCGACATGCCGTTCAAGAGCTTTACGTAAGTCCTTGAAACGGAAGGTGATACGATTCTCAACGTTCCAGCCTTCTAGGACCTTGAGCTTCTTTTCGACGAGTGAGCCTAGACTCTGCGGCGGTTGGCTTGATGGTTTCTTTTTTTGCCTTTTCCTGCATATTCGTTCGTGTAACTGCCACGCGATACGTGCGATGCCGTTCTCAATCCGCCGAGCAATCCAGCGGACCGTCTTGAAGATTGGTGTCTAGGTATCGAGCAGCAGCAGCCCAACGCCGAGTATAGCTGAATCAAGAGAGAAAAGCAGCAGCTTGCGGCATTGGCAAATCGCTTGGATGCCGTCAAAAAGCCCGCCGCGGCGGTCCCTTTGGTGAGATTTGATGCGCTGTCGTCCAACTCGAGTTTAGACCAGACGATGTGGGAACGGGGATTCGTCGGTCATTCCAAGTGACAGGCACGCTGGGCCTCGGGTACGTCACCAGCATTTCCATAATTTTCCTGTCTTGCTCGTTTCCGATTGCTTCCCTACGTGCCTACGGAGTACCAACTCCAACTTACCAAGTACACACCCCTCCCTCCCCTTACATGTACCCTCGAACCTCAACCCTCAGTCCCTCAGTCCCTCAGTCCCTCATTCCCTCATTCCCTCATCTGCCCGTCCAGACTAAAGACTGGAAGGACGGAGGTGGTCCGTTGAGATCCATTTCACTACGAAGAAGGGATCCTCTCGATGTAACCACTAACCAAGTAGCTTCTTGAACCGAGTTTTCGATGCAACTGGACCATCTTGCCCCCCCCCCCCCCGGTTACCTAAGTACCTACCTGTCTACCCGGCTAGATACCACGGTACGGGACGCATATGTGGGCAAACAACTGAAATCTAAATATTGCTTAGTCAGGTCGCAGTTCGTCAAGGGACTTTGTTAGCCGTACGGTCCGTACCAAGAACCGCGCAGAGTCTATCTGGTTTACCAAGCAGAGATGAAAGGTTTAACCAAGCGCATGGTACCTACGTTTTCGTCATGAGCTGGCCCCTTGATGGATGCTTGTGTAACCGAGACCCTCCCCAAAAGACTAAAAAGACCCAACCATAAGGTTCAACCGTTCGAGGAGGGCAATGATGCAGGGTCGCAGGGTTGATTCCTGTCCCTCAACTCCCCGTGTGTGTGTCTCTCTCTCTCCATATCGTGCGCTGACATTCTCTGAAGCGGGGGGTGGGGGGATAATACAGCCAGCCGATACAGCCAGCCACTTCGGCCCCCAAAAGGTCTCTGGGTGATTCCAGAAAAAAGAGAATCTTCCCATGCATCAATGCGGACCATTATAGCGCCGCCGATGGATGGGAAAACGTGTGTATGTACACTACTTGACTACAGTACCTATGTCTGTCGAGGCCCAGCTGGGGGTTCTTGCTCACACCGATTCGATGCCGCTACTGCGGTGAAGAGATGTGCGCCCAGATCTTAGGTGTGTGGCCATGCTCTCATCCGTCATCATGGCGCGATTTCTCCTGCGATGGTTGTGTGGTTGCAGGGAAAAAAGAAGACATTTCTCCTTCAAAGTTTACACTACCACGACTACCTAGTGTCTTGTACGCCTTTTCCCCTTCCATCCATCCAATCCATCCATCCATCCTCTTGCCCACCCCTGTTCCTTTTCGCCCTGCAACACGCTCGACCCGACCTAGTCTTCTGCCCTGCCAGCGCGCCATGCCTTTCTTTGATACCAGCCTGCCAGGGGGTACTCTTGCACCCTTAAGGGTCCAAAGGCAAAAAGTCCCTCGAAGGCATCTCCCTGTACCTACACCATTCCTGTGTAGCGAGACAACGTCTCTCTTTCTCAATCTCTCTCTGTCTGCCGCTGCCGCTACCGCTGCTGCTGCTAAGCTGGTCTACCACCTTGGCGGTGGCAGCTCCGATGGTGTGGTCTAGACTCTTCTATTTCGCGCAGCAAGTGTGGCCACTACTGCGCGAATGGGTGCCACCGCGGGATCCCGGAAGAAGGGGCCCTGCTAGGCTCTCCGTCTCTTCTGGAATGGATTTTTTTTTTTTTTCGTTTGGTAAGGTACTTGATGATGTGTATGGCGAAGCCAGACTGGATGAGAGTGTAGATGCAAGTTTGCATCATGATACATGATATGTGGCTTACGGGCCTTTTTTTTTTTTTTTTCTTCTTCTTCTTTTTCTCTCTTCACTCTCACGACTCCACGAGTCACACTCACACTCTGTTCGCTCAGATCATATGCCATGCGGGCTGCGGACCTGCTATAGCCCGCACGTACATACTGTAGATCAATAGTATGAAATCCTTCCCTCGTTCGAAATGTCTCAGTTGCTTTCGAGGTCTCCCTCCGGCTCTAGTCATGTCATGCTAGACGAAAAGCATCTTGTCTGGAAGGGGTCGCCGGCGTATACGAGAAGCGCCTGTGCTGCTGCTGTGCATGATTCTATTTCCCCCTTCCTCTGTTATTTCACTCAACATTCTGATATACCGTCCCTCTTGGGGGTTTTAGAGGCAACTAAACACTCGTGGGACGATATAAACGGCCGCCTGTCCTTACATCAGCCACCAAAACGCGGCCATGTGTCTTTGTGTTATCCCCCGCCGGAGGGCTAAAGCAAGCATACAAGTCAGTGTTTGTCGTTTCTCACTTTTGACGAGAATCGTCATATCGCACCACACACTTCTTCACCCCCTTCCCCTGGTCATGGCGGCGCCGCCAACTATTCCTAATATCGCTCTTCTTGCGGGATGAGATTGACGGGACGGCGACTGAGAGACAATTTGCCCTGATTTTGCCCTGATTGAATAAACTGCCAGGGCAGAGAAAACAAGAGTGCCGAAACCTCGTGTAGTCTAGTCTATCAGACTAAGATGAAATAGCTTGCTGAATACCTGGATACCTGGGCAGCTGAGAAACCCTGTGTTTGACAACCAGAGAGACTACCTACGTAGTATGTAATGTAGTCTTACATCAGCATGTAGTAGATTGATACTATTACGCTATCGACGAGATGGGTCAAGTGCTGTTTTCCTTGGCTTTGCTCTTTTCGCCGCCCTCTTTTTCGCCCGTGCTCACACGCACCGTAAACGTAAACTTTCGTTGAGTGTTTTCGTTAGGTCCTACCGCCGATGTGACCGATGTTCGGTTTTGCTTACCTTAGCTTTGCCTCACTTTCTGGTGAACCCCCAGTTTGACTAAAGGAACCCTTGCTTGGCGTGCGTAGTGTTTTTTCTTTCCCCCAAAGACGGGGGGGATGATGAGTGCGACGGAGAGGCGCAGACATGCACACACGCACTCTTTCCGTTTTTCCTTTCACCGCGCTAGAATCCTGCAGAAGGGCGTTCTCTCCGAAACTCCGAAAGGTTGTTGAGTCTCCAAGGCGGGCGTTGGAGAAGAGTTAAGCAGCTTTAGTGTACCAGAGAGAAGGGTGGTGGTTTGGCTACTGCATAAAAGAGGCTTTTGCTCGGCTGGCTAGCGGGTTAATTGGTGGTTTAGGGGGTGTGTGTGTGTGTGTGTGTGTGTGTGTGTGTGTGTGTGCTCGGGAATCGGGATAATGTTCCTTCAAAAGGTGAAGACTTGAACCGATCACAAACCATGGACTGCAGAGAGTCACAGACTTTTTTTTTTCTCTTCTTTTTTGCATGTGTAGTTCTGTGTAGTGTCTGCGAGTGTGACTGTGCGTGGTCACGGTGGTGTGGTGGTGGTTGCTGGCTGAATTTATTCCCGATGCGTTTCTGGTTTGTGCCTGTGTAACCTCTCCCGCGACTAGCGATCGGTGGAACCGTCGAGACCACGCGCGTGACACGTGTGACGGGATCCGGGTCGGGGATCGCCTCGCATCGCCCGCGTACCGGATGCGACGCTCTCTTGGGGGAGGCTGTTTTGCTCACTGTGAGGTTTCGGCAGAAAGGATTATGTTTACCCAACCGAATACACTACCTAGGACGAAACATTAGATACATCTGCTACTGCAAAATACACCGCTCGTGTAATACTTCTTCTTTCCCTTGTTTTCACAAAAATAAGCGCTATAGCTGCTACGGTAAATATTCTTTGCTTAGCGTGGTTTATGTTGTGTCGTGTCGTTGTCTGTTCTCCCCATCTACCGTCTCAACTCATGATCGCAGATCGTAGAACTATGGAATCATGGAATCATAAGGATACCCTCTCACAACCACAGACGTCCTGGTATACGTCGTGACGCCTTAGTAGTTCTCGTGTTGGGGGCATAGCGTCCGATCGACGATGTGGCGTCCCCGTGTTCAGGGGTTTTTCCTCTCCCACCCAAGCCCTCTAACTTCTAAGAGTAAAACTACACGAATAGTGCACTGAAGGGTTTTTGTCTTTTGAATTTTCCTGGGACCCAAGGTCCCAAGCAGCGCCACGCACGACCACGGCAAGCCAAGGACAGGAGGGACAGGACCCAGATCCGGAAGCGCCGCGCCGTTGTGTTCAGTTTGCGGGAGCTTGCGCCGACAAGGTTTGGCGCCGTCTTGCGATCGTCTTACACGGCACGGCACACACGGACACGCGCCTGGCTCATTGACCCTGTCCCAAAGATACGGTCTGGCAGTGGTCGGGTGCTGCAGCGCGTCTGATCGGACAAGAGTCCGGGCGTTTTGTGCCAAATGACAAATCAAATCCGAATGTGAGCCTGGAAAAATCCCGTCTTGATGATCCCTGCGGTCCGATGCGGTCCAGTTGAGATCTCGTCGCAAACTTTCGTGATGAGCAAAAGTTAATGAAAAGAGGGCAAATAATCAGTGTGTATGATGATGTATGATGTACCTCAAAACTTGGACCTTCCAATTGTCGGGCGATCGGGATGTCTCTTTTTCCATGAAGCCTCGCAATTTCCCTGCCGTTTGGAGTCTGGAGTCTGGACCTGCTCTGACTCTCTTTCAACCACCACACCCTGGTTCATGCAATTATACCCAAAATGCTGTTGAGAAATGATGCTGGCAATGCTGGATTCAGCGCACACACATGGAATCCACACTTGATGACACGGCACATCTCCCACGGCACACCCAATGCTGCTGCATTTCGCGAAAGTGGGCTCTCCCCTCCTTTTCGATAACCGGCTACATCCGTCATGTTCTGCATCTGCACCCATCTGCCGGGACTACATACAACCACCCACGGATAATTTTGGCTCGTAAAGATGGATGGGTTACAAAGATCAGAGGGGGCAGGGAGGGGGGAACCGAGAGGGGGGTGACATGAGGCGGGGACAGACGACAGAGAGACAGACACAACGAACGAGAGGCTACTGCTGCTGAGTGGAGGGAACAAGAAAATGTGGTCTTCTATTTGGGCACATACGATCACTATGTGCCGTTGATGATGCTTCTCTTTTGTCATACCTGGGACGCCATACCACCATGAAGAAGTAAAAAATAAAAAAAAATCCGGTCCCAATGAGCCCCTGCCAAGCCCGCCCACACACGTCTCTTCACGTCGGATCATCGGGTTGGAGAAGAGCGACTGACCATGACATCTTCTCCAAAGTGATTTGCCCGCTGTGTGCCCTGGTCCCAGGCTGTGTAACAACAACAAGAAAAAAATTGCTGAAGTTCGTAGTCGCAAGACGGGGGAGAATTTCTCCCCATCACAACCGAAAAACTGAGTCCCAAAAGGGAGGCTTTCGAACAACACACGCACCCCCCCTGGTCCGGTAGGCCGGTGCCCCCGCCGCGATGGAGGCGACCCTCGCCAAAAAATCACGATCGAACTGGGGGAAGGGGGGGCCTTTCGGGCCTCCAAAATCCCAAAATCGGATCACTCTGAGTTTTTCTCTTCATTAGGTCCCCAGGGCCTTAGCGTAATCGCAACCTTGGCGAAAAAGGTAGGGGTAGGTAAGTGGGTGGTGGTGGGTGTAAGATTGTGAGAATTGAGCTCTTTGGGACTTGGGTTTGCCGTTTCTGCGCTCGAATCGAGCGGAGTGCATGACCGCGCGCTCGCGCACGCTGGCTGCTCACCGACCATTCTTCATGGCCTCCTTTCTGCGCTTCTTCTCCGAAGCCCGGATCAGGGCGGTCTTGACGATTCCGTCGTCGAACGTGTCAATGTCGTAGTAGACGGGTGCGATTTCCTGGTAACATCCATATTAGTTATGGGGTTCTCCGATGCAATGGATAGGACGAGGCAAGTGCCGAAGAATGCAGGACAGGGGGGGCTGAAAGAAGCAAGAGATCGATCGTAGGAATCCACATGTGAGTAAGCGGCAAGAGGAGGGAAAAGGCAAGTGGTATTGTTCGAATGGTAAAAGGGGCAGGGGCTTTGCTTACAAGTAGCCACTCTGGCCTGATTCCGGTGCATGTACGAATGTACTGCTTGGAGGTGAGGACGAATTCGTTGTAAAGGACCCATTCGTAGTCGGTCTTGAGGACCGTGGAGGGATGCATCATGACTGCCTGATCGTCCTTGATGGTACGGTAAACCTTGCCCGAGCTCTCCCTCATGGCAACCTGCATGAAGAAGCCCGAAAGGAGCGCACGCCGGATGTTGGTGTAGTAGTTCTTGTCCTCAAAGGGGGTCGACACGAGCTCGAGGTCAGACTTCTCCATGATGCGCTTCAGCTGCGCACGAACGTTGTCGGCACTGCTGAGGTGACGGAAGGAGAGGAAGTGCTCGTGACACCACCTCTTGGGGTCCACGTCGGGCTGGTTTGCCGTGCCCTTGAAGGCGTGGTACGCGTTGAGGAGCGTGAGATGATCACCTTCAGGGTGCGAGAATTGCGCCTTCATCTCGTCGGCACGCTTACGCTGAGCGGCGGGGCGGACCCAGATCTGAGGGATAGAGAGTAGAGAGACGATGGACAGAATCTCGTTGGAACAGTAGAATTCGGGTGAGGAGATAAGCATGACTGCCAAAGCTGGGTCCAAGGGGAACTCGGAGGCGAGACTTCCGAGGGTGGTCAGCTCGCCATCATCGTCAAGGCAGGCGAGGTAGTTCAGCTCCTCAAGGGCACGCATCATAGTCTCCGGCGCAGGAGGGTCCATGAGATCGAAGTGAACGAGATCCTGGACACCAAGCTTCTTCAGTTCCAGAACCGTGTTGGCCAAGTTGGAACGCAGAATCTCAGGATGTGTCTGCTCGATGAGCTCCTTCTTGAAAGCCTGCTCGGTGTAGAGACGGAAGCACTTTCCGGGCTTTGTACGACCAGCACGACCGGCACGCTGCTGGGCGGAGGCCTTGGAGATGGGAGAGACCAAGAGAGACTCGACACGGATGCGCGGGTTGTAGATCTTTTGCTTGCTGAAGCCGGGATCAACGACATAGACGATACCGTCAATGGTCAAAGACGTCTCGGCAATGTTGGTTGCCACGATGACCTTGCGTCCTGGCCGGCCGCCCTTCTTGTACGGAGCCGGAGCCTTGTCGAAGATCTTTTGCTGCTGGTGCGGTGGCAGAGTACCGTAGAGCGGGTAAACCACCAACGGGCCCGCGTCTATTTCTCGTGTCATCTCGTCGGCCTCGAGGTTGATCTTCCGGCAGGCATCCTCAATCTCCTCCTCACCGGTCAAGAACAGTAGAATATCGCCCTCTCCTTCGGAGGCATGGATCTGCAATACTGTTCGAATGGCAGCCTCGACATAGTCCCTCTCGGGCTCGGGGGTGTAAAAGATCTCGACGGGGTGGGTACGACCGGGAACGGCGAGAAGCGGCGCATCGTTGAAGTAGCGCTGGAACTTTTGGGCATCGAGGGTGGCGGACATGACCACGATCTTGAGGTCGGGCCGGCGGGCGGCGATCTGCTTGAGCAGGGCCATCAGGATATCGGTGGCGAGAGTACGCTCGTGGGCCTCGTCGAGAATGATACAGCTGTAACGCGACATCTCGTGGTCGTGGATAGCTTCTCGGAGAAGCATACCGTCGGTCATGTACTTGAGAATCGTGTTGGGGCTGGTTCTGTCCTCGAAACGAATGCTGTATCCGACCTCCTCGCCAAGATTAACGTCCATCTCGTCGGCAACACGCTGTGCGACGGACATGGCGGCAACACGACGAGGCTGAGTGCAGGCAACCATCTTGCGGTTGAGCTGAGGGAGCTCGTCAAACACGACATATTGGGGGATCTGGGTCGTCTTTCCGGAACCGGTCTCACCGACGAAGACGAGGATTTGGGTAGAGTGGTACTTCTCGAGGAACTCTTCTCTGTTGGAGGGATGGTCAGTAAGATGGAAAGTTTTCTAGATAAGACTCCAGGATAGACGTACCTCTGCTTCGTGACGGGAAGATCGCGACGCGCTTCCAGGATCTGGAAGTACTTTTGCGAGTGAGGGCGACCGGTGAAGGCGTTGTCGTCGAGGTCTTCGATCTTCTCGTGCTGCTTCGATGTTGTGGCGCGTGGTTTGAAACCGTAAAATGGTGAGCTGGCATCAATGGTGCCCTCCTCGGACTTGGCGCCGTTCTCCTCCTTCATATGCGCCAAGTAGGGGTTGTACTTGGACTCGTCCTCTTCCTCCTTCTTGACCTTCTTCCTGCTTCCTTCTCTGTCGGCGCTCAGGCGCTTCGATCCCTTATCCTCGAAGTCGGCCATTGTGGTCGCAAATTCCCCGCTTCGGTACGAAAGGATGGTGGACGGGAAAGGGGTTGAGAGAGATGTTTGGTTGAAGTTGCGGCCCGTGGATTCGACGTCGACGAGGTCAAACTCGGGAGGCGATTCCAAGCGAGGCTCCCAGAAACTTTTTGTTGTCGCGGGAAAAATTTGGGTGGGTATGAGCACGGGCCAATAAGAAGGTGGGATGATAAGATAAGCTAAACTCATGCATTGCACGTACCGTACGAAGGATCTCACACACTGACCATGAGACATTGAGTGACTGAGAGCGTGAGACTTTACGTGGCTATAAACATGACAAAGAATACCTTAATTTTGCTGGAACTCATTAAAAATCGTCTCGAACATATTGGTATGTAATATATCTCACTTTGAGTGATTTACTAGAAGTTGCCCTTTCAGAGAAGGTATATCATAAATTCATCGAATAGACCAAGATGCAAGAATGTAAAGTGTACTTTCCTGACAGCGGGCACTGTCTCCTCTCACACTCTCTTCAGGGTCCAGAGTGCAACCAATGGCACCGGGTCGCATCTCGCAAAATCTGGTGCTTTTTTAACCTCTTGGGGGGGTAACCAACAGCCTGACTTCTCAAATCACACAACATCAGGTTGCAACTGCTCTGAGTGCAACTTCTGCGATCTCTCAGCCCATCGTTTTCCTGAGCACAAACAAACTACCAAGAATGATTTGCTGACCACTGATCGTCTTGTACTCCCTTGTCATATCCTCTTTTTACCAAAGCGCCAGGGTCTTAACCAGCTGGTAACCGCTTTTTGCACAACCGCCGCGTGGGGTATTTGTGCGCTGAGCAATTACACCATTCACAAGTCCTCTTTAGGCAACACAAGGCACTACAGCCTGAATTGTCTCAATATCTACCATGGACGGCAGCAACTTCAACCAAATCCGGCCTGTTTTCAGCCTTGGTCAGCATGATTCTCAGAGGGATCAGCCTCTTGATGATCTTCAGTATGGCCAGATTCTGAACGCTGGTGTAAGTCCATTTCTGAGACCCAAATTTCTTTCATTTTCAATTGTCACTCACTAAGCTTTGACTCCAGGTCAACTTTGTGACGGCACCCATCACCAACAAGCACTTCCATGCACGGGTAAAGGACCTTGTTTCCCAGCATCTCGCCAAAGCGAAGAAGGGACTCGCTTCACTGGCGGACGCCGTGGTGCCTCCTTTGACCCCCAAGGACACCTCCCTCTTCCCCAGCCATGCCGTCACCACTTACATCGCCTACGCCAGTCCCTGGATCGACTTGGCCTCGGTCGATCCTGCTGTGGCCAGCATTTCTCGACAGGTCCTGAATCTCGAGATTGCCTACGCCAACTTTTGTGGTGTCCGAAGCATCATCATTCCCGGCCCCAGGAGAGACGCCTCCAAGAATGGCGGAAACCAGGGTCTGTCTCAATATGCCAGAGCTGTGCAGGAGGCAATGACCATTGCGTCGCGCCTCAACTTCATTATCCACATCCCCATGTACCGGGAGCCGGGCCTGGAGGAGAGCGTAGAGCTCCTGTCGACTTTGTCAGAGGTGCCTCACCCCGAGAACAGCAAGGAGATCGACATCTACAGCGCATGGGACTCTTGGCACACTGTCCGCTCAGTCTGCGAATACAGCATGCGCCTGTATGTTGGTAAGACATCTTTTTCACATTCTGTTATCCTAAAAATGGACACTGACTAGCATCAACAGCCATTCGCGTTCCCAGAGCTCTGCCTGAAAAGTCTCTCCAGGAGAAGTGGTTCGCCGAGCCCCTGCACTTCCTCTCCCTCAACGGGAACGCATTCTCCAAGAACAAGACCGGACACCCTGCCCTGCCCAAGGCCCATCAGGACATGATCTTCAACTACATGCGCCTCAAGAACGCGCCCTGGCTGCTACTTAGCGACGTCGGTCCGGATACCGCCTCGCTGACGGCAGAGGCACAGCTTCAGGCCGTCAGTCTCGGAAACCAGGTCCCTACCTCCGCAGACTTCCCTCCCCTGGGCGAAACTCCCACTCTCGCCACGGACTCTCTCAAGTCGTTCCGCACCTACGTGGTGTACCTCAAGTGGCTCGAGATGCAGCAGCGCCCGCTGTCCTACCTGGAGCAGACCACGCTCACCAGCTTCCAGGACTGGCTCCAGTCGCCCCTGCAACCTCTGTCCGACAACCTGGAGTCGGCCACGTATGAGGTGTTCGAGGGTGACCCGGTCAAGTACAACCAGTACGAGGCTGCTTGCACGGAGGCTCTAGCAGAGTGGCACCAGCTGGGTAGAGCTACCTCTTCCAAGGACGGCGCCGTAGTCATTGCCGTCGTCGGCTCCGGCCGCGGTCCTCTCGTGACGAGAGCCCTCAAGGCCAGCGAGGCGACCGGCGTCCCTGTCCAAGTCTGGGCCGTGGAGAAGAACCCCAATGCATACGTCTACCTCCTCAGACAGAACGAGATGATCTGGGGCGGCAAGGTTACTGTCGTCAAGACAGACATGCGCGCCTGGAAGGGTCCCCTCGTCTCGGGCACCCCCGAAAACAACCCGGTCTACGGCAAGGTGGACATTCTGGTATCCGAGCTGCTCGGCTCCTTCGCAGACAACGAGCTCTCGCCAGAGTGCCTCGACGGCGTCCAGCACGTCCTGGCGCCCGGGGGCATCTCGATCCCCGAGTCCTACACGGCGCACATGAGCCCCATTGCGACGCCGCGCATCCACGCCGACCTCCTCACCAGGGTCCCCACGGAGCCCAACGCCTTCGACACCCCCTGGGTGGTGCGCCTCTTCGCCCTCGACTTCGCCGCCATGCGCGTGCCCGGTCACCCGCGCTTCCAGCAGGCATGGGAGTTCTCCCACCCGGTCTCCGAGGCCACGCTCAAGCAGATCGAGACGAGACGCGCCGGCGGCGTCATGGGCGGCGGAGGCGGTAGCATGGCGGGTGCTGTTGGCGCCAACGACCACAACTCGCGCTTCTGCCATCTCACGTTCGTATGCCCCACGAGGGGTGTCATCCACGGTTTGGCCGGGTACTTTGAGTCTGTCCTCTACGCGCCCCAGACCGGCGACAGAGAAAAGGTGGAAATCAGCACGCATCCTGAGCTGATTGACCGCAAGAGCAAGGACATGATCTCGTGGTTCCCCATCTTCTTCCCCATCAAGGTGAGCAAAAACAAAGGCCCCAATTTTCTCATGCAATTTGGACAAATTTCACTGACATTCACAGCAACCGATCTACTACCCTGCCGACACTGAATTGGAGGTCACGATGTGGCGCCAGACGGATGATTCGCGGGTGTGGTACGAGTGGCTCATCGAGGCGTACACGTGGGTGAGCGAGACACAGCGCATCAAGGTAGCGTCGTCGGATCTCTGCAGTAGTCGCAAGGTTGCTTGTCTTATGTAAGTATTTGCGGAAAAAAAAGTGGTGGTACCAAAAGGGGGCACTGGAGGCGCCGACAATGGTGTACGCCCCTTTTCTTCTTCTTCTTCTTCTATAGTTGCTGCGAAAGGGGTAGAGAGATGGTTCTTTCTTGCGCAGCGCGACCTGGCGGTATTCAACCTGACTTGGGGGGACACTGCAAACTCCGTTCCATCGCTGGCCTTCATGTGGATTCGTTTTGATTTCTCCGAGCTCATCGTGAAAACCAATATCCCTTTCCGCCCGCCCTTTCTCTGAGTCAAGACCAAAGTACGTGAGGGCGTTTTCCCAGGTTATGTCGATGCTTGTTCCGCTCGTGGTCTTTCCGCTCGTTGTGGGAGGGATGCTCTTCCCGCTCAACCGTCCATCCTGACGTCGCCGTTCTCGCCTTGTTTCGCGCCGCGGATCCAGAGAACGTTGTTACACCTGTCAGTGCGTTCAGTCAGTCAACACAACTTCGTCTCGAGGGGGTTATCGTATGTGACATGGGAAGAGAGGGGAAGTGGTTCGTGTGCTGTCGAATGATGGTCGCGTACCGAATCAAAACCTGGCCCAAAGCTCCCGTCATCTTCTGGTCAATGTACTCCTCGGCGCCGCTGAGCTGGACGTTCATGTAGCTGTCGATGCTGACCAACTTTCCCTTGTATTCGGTCTCGCCCCACTTGAGTCTGATGACGACGTCCTGGTTGACACTGCGCAAGTATGAAATGTTAGCACGCTGAACAAGCTTTGTCTATCGAGGAAAGAGGATGCCTGGCGATCGTGAAGGGCGTTGGCATTGGAGAGGCGCGTTTCGCGGACGTAGATGAGGACGTACAGGTCTTGCAGCATAGGCCGCGGGTTAATGGGCACGAACTGCGAGGCAGAAAAGATTTGTTAGCTTATTGCATCCTATAGAATGTCGAAATTGAAGGGGAAAAGGGGGTTACATACGCTCATGGTGGGCGATTCGAGGGTGAGATACAGCCCATGTAATGTGTAGATGGGGGGAAGTTTGCGCGGGAGTCGAGGCTGCGATGCGTGAGGCTCGTCCTTCTCTCAATTGGGGCCAATTTTTAGGCGGGCACAGTGCACCTGAGGTTGCTACAGTGGTGTGAGGCTGTCGGAAAATCATCGGGTCCACTGTAAGGGACCGCCTGGCGATGCAACCCAAAAAATTCGGGGGATTTTAGAGCACTGGCCTCCTTTTGTTTCTCCTGTCGCAAGCTGTTTATTGATCAGAGTCTGATGGTCTCATTCGAGTCTTCGTGGCACATATCGAACCTAACACATCGGGTCATCTGAGATCAACCTTTGATCCTCATATGATCGAACGAACACCGTGTGAACGCCTACCTTTAGGCGTATTCTCTGGGTTTATGTGGCGATATCCTACCTCATAGCTTGACTGACGTCTGCTGCATCTGTATGTGGACATCAAATCAAAGCTAAGAATGATGATAGATCACGAGGTAAGTTGAGGTTTCGGATAAGGGTCGGCAAGATGAGATTTATCAGGGTATATTCGAGACCTGAGCAATCGACGCCTTTGGACCATAATGCTCTCACTAAATGGTATCATGTGAGAAATTATTGTTGGCGCGTGGAAGCTTCTTCTTTCCATGGGCAGCTAAATTCATCGATGTTGAGTACATCGATCTTACCTGCGTAATGTGATCTGTGCCTTCGCCTGAGATGCACAAAGCAAATTGGCTTGATGGACTGAAATCGCGATGAAGGTTGTGAAAAGAAGGATGCTACAGTGTATATGTCTCGAAAAGAAAAACACCACTCTGGTCAGATGAGAAAATCTCAATTAAATCGCTGCGGGAAACTTGGTTGGTGAATGCTTTGAAGCTCATGAACTCCAATCCAGCATCATCTCGTGTCCTGATGCTGCTATGAAAATTTCGCGGGTACAGCCGAACCTCAGTCAACCTCCGCCTTACAACAACCACACCCCCAGTGACCACACAAAATGGCCACACAAACATTTGAGACCAACGGCGTCCGAATCGCCGTTGAGGGATGCGTAAGCCTTTGCAATGAACACATCTTACACGCAAATGTTCTCCCACTGACAAATCCTGACAGGGCCACGGCACCCTCAACGCCATCTACGCTGCCGTCGAGGCCTCCTGCACGGCCCGTGGCTGGGACGGCGTTGATCTCCTCATCATCGGCGGCGACTTCCAAGCCGCCCGCAATGCCGCCGACCTGACGGTCATGTCCGTCCCCGCAAAGTACCGCGAGCTCGGCGATTTCTGGGAGTACTACGCCGGCCATCGCACCGCGCCGTACCTGACCGTCTTCGCGGGCGGCAACCACGAGGCCGCCAGCCACATGTGGGAGCTCTTCTACGGCGGCTGGGCCGCGCCCAACATCTACTACCTCGGCGTCGCCAACGTCCTGCGCCTGGGCCCGCTGCGCATCGCGGGTATGAGCGGCATCTGGAAGGGCTTCGACTATCGCAAGGGCCACCACGAGAGGCTGCCCATGGGCCCGGACGAGATCAAGAGCTTCTATCACGTCAGGGAGGTGGATGTGAGAAAGTTGCTACTGTTGAGGGAGCAGGTTGACGTCGGTATCAGCCACGACTGGCCACGGGCGATCGAGAGGTGGGGTGACGAGAAGGCGCTGTGGAGGATGAAGCCGGATTTCGAGAGGGAGTCCATGGATGGCACACTGGGCAACGTTGCGGCGGAGTATGTCTGCGATCGGCTCAGGCCACCGTATTGGTTCTCCGCGCATTTGCACTGTAAGTTTGCGGCGTTGAAGATTTACAAGGATGAGGAGGCGACTACGATGGAGGCACCAGAGGGAGCTACGGCCTCAGCTACGGCCCCGGCTGCGACACACGAGCCGGTTCAAGCACCGGATAATCCAGATGAGATCGATCTGGACGGAGACGAAGAGATCACGGACGCACCCGCCGTTTCGGCACCAGCACAAACAAATCCCAACGAAATCGATCTCGACGACGATGACGATGACGAGCAGCCTACCGCACCTACACAAACACAGCCCAGCAAAGAAGTAACAGAAAAAGCTCCCAACACCAAAACCTCCGTCCCCGAAGACATCCGCGCCCAACTCCCCGCCTCCTTCGCCAAACCCAAGCCCCAGCCGAAAAGGACACCGGGCCAGCCCGTCCCGCCAACAATCACGAACAAGCAGGTCAACTTCCTCGCCCTCGACAAGTGTCTCCCGCGCCGCCACTTCCTTCAGCTCCTTGAAGCCCGCCCCCACAACATCCTGCCCGCCGACCAACCGGCCCCGACGCGGCCCTTCCGCCTGCAGTACGACCCGGAATGGCTTGCCATCACGCGCGTCTTCCACCCCACGCTCGTCATCGGCGACGAAGCGGCCCACCACCAGCCGAGTCCAGAGCTGGGCGAGGAACACTACGCGCCGCTCATCGACGCCGAGCGCCGCTGGGTTGAGGAGAACATCGTTCAGAAGGACAAGCTTGACGTCCCGCTCAACTTTGAGATCACGGCGCCGCCGCATGTAGAGGGAGAGCCCGAGTCTGTGCCGCACCAGCCGTTTGAGTATACCAACCCGCAGACGTCGGCCTACTGCGCGCTCTTGGAGGTTGGGAACCTGTGGGATGCTAGCGAGGAGGAGAGGATGGAGAGGAAGGCGAGGGGTCCGCCGGCTGCGGAGTTCAGGGGACACCGTGGCGGTGGTGGTCGGGGCTTTCATAGAGGTGGTGGTGGTGGGCGCGGCGGTGGACGTGGTGGTAGGGGCCGGGGTAGGGGCCGTGGCAGAGGCAGAGGTTGGAACTGAGTTTTGTTGAAAGTGGATGCAAACATTTCATGGCGAATTTCATGGTCAAAAAGGTCACAGATGCGAGCTTTTGCCTAGAGCCGTCTAAAATTTGCAAGATATCTCTGAGGACAATCCAACAGAAGGCTTCACACCATATGAGGAGCATTCATCCAAGACTAAAGAATTTGGTTTATTCAGCTATAAGTGTGAATGTGTGTGTTTACTATGGTTGATCTGTATCCCAACAGAAAAAGCGTAGATCTCAATGGTAGAAAGTTGAGTCGAGCAGAGTGAGTGGAATATAGTTCTTCTTCCATCTTTAATAGACGTTCAACCCACGGAAGAGTGAGGGGAGGAACGCATATGCTAAGATGGGGGTTGGTTTTTTTCACATGTGGGGTGACAGCGTGGGTCACCATCGAGAGATCATGGCAAAGAATAGAACACATGCCTTTCTTGGCATGGGATTTCGTCATAGTGTCATAGCAATGGTATCGTGTCTGGTAGTACCACCCTGAAAGCTCAACGCCCCAAACTCCGTCATGAACAATGAAGCCAAAATGCAAATGGTCATTAAGCGTCATTCAGACAGTGCCGGTATTTTGCTCTGTGAGAAACGCGTCAGAACGGCTGGGTGGTTCCCGTGAGACAGATGCCGTCGCTCTGGGATCAGAGGAGGTTGGGGATGTCTTACTGTCCAGACCCAGGAAGTCGGCTGCGACCAGCAGTTCCAGGCACAGCTCGACAGGAATGTCCATGTCAGGAACGTCCTCCCGCTCGCGGTAGCGGTACCAGTATTGGAAATACTCGCAGACTTTCTCAAGCACAACGCCACTGCCGAGAGAGAAGACGGTCAGACGTTTCCAGAACTTTTTGGACAAAAGAGAAACGAAAAGGAATGAGGATTAGCCTTGTGAAGTGGCTGGGAAACAAGTAGTGTGAGGAAAAAGAAAGAATGTTGCTTGTTTCAGATCAAGTGTAGTTGGGCAATCAAGCAGACCAGCCGTTAGAGCGGTGGTCTGTCAGTGAAACTCATCGATAAAATCGGATTTCATCATGGCAACAGCCGTAGAAAACGAAAGGTGGCAGTGAGAGCGCTGGGTTGTGCTGGCTTACCTGATCTCTTCAAACACGCAGCGACCCAGAGCAGCCTCACGGAAGTTGTTGCGCGTGTCCAACATGCCTTTGATGGCAGGGCTGATCATGGCGGCGTCCCGCAAGACGACAAACTCGTAGCCATCACTCGAGACCAGAGTCACGTACTTGCTGTCGGTTGTGCCGTTGGGATCCATGATTGCGGACCGGTGAGATATGCTGCGTGTTCCGTCTTCTGAGGGCTGAGCAGATAGACAGACTGCTGGAAGTTGGATTGGTGGCTTCCGTGTGTCGGAGTCTCCGTGTCTCTGATTGTTTCGCAAGTCACAGCGGTGATGCTCGTGGCGAAATATGAGCCTTCGATGAAGGCCGACGACGCGTTCGTTGAAGACGGAAGTGAAAGACTGAAAAATTCACGTCGCGATTTTGAGGGAGGCGGTGGTGGGGTTGGAGCTTGGGCCACCTCTCTCTCGTCCCGTAGTCCTGCCGGTGAAGGAAAGAGCACCGGAAAAACTCTGACGGGAGCTGTCCGCTTTCAGACTGCAGGGGGGACCTTCCTTGGCCAGGCCACAGCCAGGGGTTCGATTGATCCGCCTTAGCGCACTTTCGTCAGCTCCACTTTTGCGTTGTCGTTGTGGCTCCTCTGGCGCCTGCCGTCATCACCCCGGCAAGAAGTGGCTGGTTGCCCCGTCGACTTGTTTACAATTGCCCTCCTTGCTCCCGCTCCTTCTCCTCAAGAACACAGCACAACCCGCCCATCCACCTCGCACACAAACCCACCCCCATACAATACACCATCCCAAGCAAGACCAAGCACCTTTCCAACATTCCTCAACTTCAAAACGCCGCAACGTGCCAACGTCTCTTCCCCGTATTGCATGCCTCGCACTTAACCATATCTCAACGGCATTCGACTGAACACGGCAAGTAGCTGAACACGAAGCGAGGAGGCTCGTTTGAGGAGAAGCGGCGATATCAGTATCGGCAGTATTCCTCCATCGCAACAAGAAACAAGCAGCATACACACACAACCCGGGAAACATCGCATAAAAGCACAAACCACTCAAGTCTCCCCAACAACCCCCCCTTCCACCCCCAGACGAGCGCACGCACCGGCCCCCGGTATCTATCTTACCCATCATCACATCAACCCATCTCGCAAACACGCACGAGGGGCCACGCTGCGAATCGACCTCCCTCGTCATCGCATCACAGCACCTCAAACACAGCTCGAGCCTGCCGCATTATGGCGTCCTCATACCAATACCGCAACTCATACCACAACTCGTCTCAGAACATTAGCGAAAAGTACGACGACGGCCGCCCGGCCACTTCCCGCCGCAACACGCGCCTTAGGAGTAGCGACGGCACCGTCAGCACCACAATGAGCTCTTCAACAGGCCGCGAGAGCGCCGCAACCCACGTCACCGAAGGTCCTGCCTATTCCAAGAAGATTGTCGTCGTCGGCGACGGCGGCTGCGGCAAGACATGTCTCCTCATCAGTTACAGCCAAGGCTACTTTCCAGAGGTAAGCATCCAAGCAGAAAAAATAACCAACTCCTTTCGAGCGCAACATTTTCCTCATTTGCGTGTTGCTGGGGAGCGAAATGAGCCAAAACAATGCTGACTCTGGCGACAACAGAAATATGTCCCCACTGTGTTCGAGAACTACATCACCTACCCAACGCACCCACCGTCCGGCAAGACGGTGGAATTGGCGCTATGGGACACGGCCGGCCAGGAGGAATACGACCGACTGCGACCGCTCTCTTACCCCGAGACCGACTTGATCTTTGTGTGTTTTGCGATTGACTGCCCAAACTCGCTTGAGAACGTCATGGACAAGGTAATTTAACCACCGCCCCTCAGATAACATGCCCCTCCTTTTTTGGGGCAACGCATTTGACACTAATGCTAATTTCTTCTCCTACCAGTGGTATCCCGAAGTCCTCCACTTCTGCCCCTACACTCCTCTGGTCCTCGTGGGCCTCAAGTCCGATCTCCGCTTCAAGAAAACGTGCATCGACATGCTCAAGACACAGGGCCTCACGCCCGTGACCCAGGAGCAAGGCCGCGCTGTTGCTCGCAAGATGGGCGCCCAGTACGTAGAGTGCAGCAGCAAGGAGATGACTGGCGTGGACGAGATCTTTGAACAGGCAATCCTGACGGTCGTCGCCAATGATCGGAAAAATCAGGAAGCCCAAGCTGCCGCCTCCCCGTCAACACCCAGTGGTCCGCCTGGAAGCAGCGCAGGTTTCCCTGGCGTCGCTCTTAAGAAGAAGAAGAAGAGGAATTGCAAGATCCTGTGAGATTCCCACTGAGGACCTCAGGGTTGTAAGGAAGAGGCATTGGACACCGGCGGAGGGCGTAATGAATGACTTTTTGTTTTATCTGCATGATCTCGTCACGACCTGCTACTATTACGATCTGGAGAAAGCATGCGCCACCATTAGCGAAGGGGGGCGTCTCCTGCTCTAGGGCTGGATGAACCCTAGACCGGAGACGAAGTTTTCCCTCCACCAGGGATGTTGAGAGAGATTTTCTTCTTGTTGTTTGATGAAGAAGAACGAATGGTATATAAGTGGGAAACGAAACGAAAGGAGTGGGAGGGAAAGTGAGTGGTTTTCTCATCCGAGTCTCTAGGCTCATCCATACCCTTTATTTTTGACGCCAAACAAACACACACACACACACACACACACAAACGGAGCGGGTACAGGGGAGACTTTGATCAGTTTTTTTCTGTAACCATCAGGTAACCTCTTGGACCTTGAGGGGTAATTTTTCTTATTTTCTTATTTTCCTTTCTCTTTTTCCTCTCCTGTAGCAGCATGGGGTTTTCTGTCTTGATAGGGCATTCCTGAGGGATAGGAAACATGAAATGTTAAAAGCATCAAATCAATTGTTACGTTGTGCCCTGAATGTGATGTATGAGATGAAGTGAGTGAATGGGTAAATCAATATCGCCAAATCTGGCGAAACTACCTACGAAAGCTGCACATAATTTTGAGTTTCCCAGTGCCGTGGTTCAGTAGTTCTTGAGAATCAATTCAGCCAGCAAGATCAAGTTGAGATGCAGTCCAAACGAGGCATCGGAGAAAGGTCCGATGAGAGACTGATATGAATGGGATTCTCTAGAATGGGATGCACTTTTCATCAATTCGACTACCAAACCCAAAACCCCAAATCCTGAAAAATTCCTCGAGTCAACCGGTTTGCAATAAATTGTCACCAGCCGATCGTTACGCACCATGGACTCTTCTGCCCAGGCATGCCAGGTTCTGATCGCCGATCTCCCGCGAGAAGGTGATCTCGCGCATCGCACCAACGACGGGCGACCCACCACACTGGTCCGAACCGAGAGCAACGTCGTTGGCGGCCCAAACCCAAACCCAATCTCAGATCGAAGCCCAAGCCCAGATTTAAGCCTACATCCCGAACATTCCGAACCCGAGCTGCTATCATCCGTCGACGTCGCAAGCCTTTACGCGCAGGTTGCTAAACTCAACGACGCGCTCGCTGCGCTGGAAGATGAGGTGCGCAGAGAGCCTTATGTAAACTCGGAGAAGGAGTGCCGAGGCGCTGCGGGTGATGTTGAGCAGCTTCTCGCGAGTTTGGCGCAGCGCGCTGCCGAGAAGACGGGGCTGGAGAGGTGGTTCCCGTGTACAGGGCGGAAGAAGAGGGATCTGCTTAGGAGGCATGTCTGCGTTGTGCAGGAGACGTGCGGGACTGTTGGTGTGACGCATCTGAGGGTCGCTGATGCGTTTGCTGGGCTTTGTGGGAGGGCGGATGGTCTGGGTGAGGATGGCGAGAGGTTGAGTCAGGTTGTTGGTGAGGCGAGAGATGGGTTCGAATGGGAGAGGGTGAGGTGGAAGGTGCTTGGGTGGCGGGAGGGGATTTTGAGGGATGAGTTGGAGGGGGTTGAGGCGCGGATATCTGCTGTGAGCGGCGACAGCAGCAGTAGCGGGCTGGTTCCTGATGGGCATGGGGGCGGTATTGTTGATGATGCGGCTACGACTACGACAGATGAGCGAGAGGCCACCGTCGTCGAGATGAGATTTGAGACGGAGCAGCTGGCGACGCTGCCGTCGGAAACGGAAGACTACGCACATAACCCCATAGAAGACGACCGCGACGCGAGGAGCCCCGGAAACGAGAGGGACGAGATCCGCTTGGAGATCATGGCAGCTTCACTCGAGTCGTTGTTTCTGGTGAAGCACGGAGATTTCAGCGCCGATTTGCAGAGACGGGTTGCAGCGCTGCGAGAGGGTGGAAATAGGTGTCTCGACGTCGCTGAGAGGCTGGAGAAGCTTCGAGATTCGGATTATGGTGATTTGGTGGCTGGGCTGGGTGAGCTTGCGAAGAAGCCGGACGCGGAGAGCAGGCGCAAGGGTGTTGAGAAGGTTAAGGCGACTGGGCGTTTGGGTGCTTCTTATCGCGGGGTGACGACGGCTGAGTACCTTATGATGAGATGAGCCCGGCAATGTAGAAATTGGCAGCGTAATGCTGCGCGTGTAGAAATAACGTCATCATTCATAAAAAATAGGTATTTCGTTGCTGGTGGGTATCATGATCTCTGCTCGTTCTTCGTCTCGCCATCGCTGCCCTCCTCGATATCGCCCTGCTGGTTTTCCTCGGATTCTTTCGCCATTACGTTTTCGAACTGCGACCACAGCGCCTCGACGGAGGAGAACTCGTTTCCGACCTGTGATGCGGCGTCGACCGCCCCGAATTAGTGCTCGAATTTCTTGACGGCCGGCGTATTGGTAAAGGAGAGAGAGGAATGCTGCTTACCGTAATGACTGCCTCAAGCGAACGATTCAGCTTATTAATGTTGGCAAGGACTTGCTCAAAGTTCTGGATTTCCCCATTAGCGTTCTCATGTTGTTTGTTTTCGTTGATGCTCGTCGCTTCGGCGAACGAGAGGCCGACTGGGGGAGGGCTTTACCATTGCGATTTCGCCAATGAGTTCTTCGCGCTGCTGCTCAAAGTAGGTCTTTTCCCTCGTACCCGATTGGGATTGTGAATGGGAAAAGGTCCGCTGATGTGACGACATGTTGTTTGTTGGTGGCTCTCTGTCTTTTGGAGGTTTAAGGAGGAGGTCGCGCGTCGCGTTGAGAGGAATTGGAGTTTTGGCGGTGATGGCGGGGTTTGAATGGAAGGTCACTGCGGTGGGGTTGTCTTTACAGTTTCTGGTGTGGGCATGACACTGTACGCAACACTGTGGGTGTCTCCAAGTGCCGATTGTTGATCCACGTAGCGTACATTTCTCATTCTTCACGTATTGCCATGTTATAAAGGTAGTGAAACTTAGATCAAAAGATGATTATATGTATGGACGATGCCCTAGACCACAGGGAAAGAGGAAGCCTGTATCCATGCCAAAATGTTCCAGCAAATGACCGTGAGGAAGGGTATCAAAAAAGGGTATCATTAACGAAAGCCAGAAGAGAGTCCAGATCCCATCATCCTACCATAACCAACCTGTCTGCTGTATCCTTCAATCAGACGCTCTCTCTGGGCTTCACTGGCGAAGCCCCCATGACGCTAATGGCATCATCATCAATGGGCTTCGCCTGGAACGTCGACGCACTCTTGTCCACAGCAATACCCGTCTGCCCCCCGACTCCCGATACCTCCCTTCCGTCACGCAGCTCCCAGCTCCCCTGGCGCTCGTGTCGCACCCCGCGCCCAGAGACAGCCAGGTCCAGGTCGCTAGCCATCTTCTCCGCGGCCTTGAAGCCTCCGAGCCCGGCAATCCGGCCATTGCCGTCCTTTCCTCCTGCTCCGCCTCCGGCACGATGAATCCGGAAACCGCCGAGAACAGCCGCCGAGACAACAACCAGCCCCAACACAGCGAGGACGATGATGGCGCCAATGATGCCCGCGACAACGGGCTTCTGCACGGCCGAACGAATGGCCTCGCCGACGGTCGGCGTCGTCTTCGTGGTCTGCCAGTCGCAGAACGACTGGATCGAGCCGCAGATGCTGCACCACGTCGCCGTGTCGATGCCGAACTTGGCCATCTCCTGCTTGAAGTAGCTGTACGTCACGCGGGTGTCGCCCTCGGCGAGGCCGAAGAGGGGATACTCCAAGAAGGGGGTGCCCGGCTCGGCGTTCTCGCGGTAGAGGAAGCGGACGTAGAGGTTCTCCTCGGTCGGGTAGGTGTCTGGCTCGTTGGGCTGGTCGCCGACGAGCTCGAAGACCATGGCGGCACCGTTTTCGGGGAGGCTCCAGAAGGGCGTCGTGGAGAGCGTCTGGTTCGGCTTCTGGAGCCCTGCGAGGGAGAAGAAGGAGAGGAAGGGCTCCTGGGAGCTGAAGAGGAGGGTCAGCTTGTTGGAGTAGCCGGCGAAATTGCCGTTGGCCTCGAGGGCGTCGACGACTCTGCGCGCAAAGGTCCGGCCGGCGATGGTGCGGATCATGTCTCCCTTTTGGAGGCCCGAGACGGCTTGGTTGGAGGTCATGTTGAGCTGCTGGAGGCGGGCGTACATTTCGAGGAACTCGATGCGCTGGGCGTACCCGTCTTGGAGACCGTCGTAGACGGCCTGCTCGTGGGAGTAGCGGTAGCGGACGTAGTCGTAGATGTCGTAGGCGTTCCAAAAGTTCACATGTGCGAGGGAGATGTCGCCGTCGTTTAGTGGCGGCGTGCTGAAGAGGGATGTGTAACCGGGGCGGGAGGCTTGCTCGAGGGCCTGCATGTACGGGTCGAGCTGCATGACATACGTTGTCGAGATCTTCCACTGCGGGCATTCCGTGTTGCCCCGAACACTTTACGATGGCAAGTCAGTTCAGTCTCAAGGGGCATACTATGGTTAATGGAACTTACTCAATCGACCTATCGTCAGACAGTCCCAGCGTCTCAATGATAGGATATTGGTAACCGCCCAGGGGATACTGCGTGGTGTTTCCAGAGATTGTCGAGTACGAGATGTTCGTCCCGCCAGTATCGGCCGCAAAGGCCTGCGTGATGGGCGGGTAGAGGCCCTGCATGAAGGCAGCAGCGCCGGCGGCGATGTGGGCATCGGGGAGGGAGAGGATCGAGAGCTGCTCATGCTCATACACGTTGCGCGCAATTCCCTTGATCGCGGCGCGGGTCGTGATGCGACCCTCGGAGGTGTTTGTGGGTGTTCCGCTGGCCAGGTAGCGACTTCTAAAGGCATTTCCCTGGGCGTACATCTCCTGAGCACCCAAAGGAGTCAGGGTATCTTGGAGCCCGCTGCGCACCGGCGTGCGCTCACCGTGCATGATCATTGCGACGGACGCCCATACTGAAGGAGTCGAGGGCGCGGCCGAGGTCGCTGCGATCAGGGTCCCAATGAGGACAATCAGGGATAGGGTAGACATGACGGGCGAGAAGCCTGGGTTGCGTGTCATACGGTTGCAAGATTTGGGTGATTGAACTTGCAGTACGGGCTTACACAGGCAACAGAAAGCTCGAGGCAACGGAGAGATCAATCCGATACAGACGAACGGCTGCTCGGTACAGAGAATGGAGGGGAGAGCTCGGCTTAAAAGAACATGACCAGACCACCAGTCTAGAGGCAGAGGAGAGCTTGGAAGAACCGGAGCATGCAAGGCTCGCATGCAGCAAGGCGGCGGCGGGAAGCTAGCTGGGCTTACACCATCTTCACCTCAGAGGGGAACATGAGTGACAGCTTCTCACCGCATGTCGCCTCGATAAGCCATCGAGTGTCTTTCCTTCCTTCCTTCCCCCAAGACGCTTGTCTCGGAGGGGTAATGTAGGCAGTACATGACGTGCTTGAGGCCCAGAGCGACAGAACGAGTCAGGGTACAAGGCCGGACATGGCAGACGGGCGGCATTGTCTTTCTTGGCTACCGTTGCGACTCCAACAGATGGGTGGTCGACGATGGCGGTGGTGACGGATGGGGCCGACGCGGGATGGCGTGGAAAGCGCAGCAAGGATCTACAATGTCTGCATGCTAGCAGAGTGGAGATGGCGGCACATGGCTGACTTTCAAGTAGGCCGAGCCAAGTGAGTTGTCCAAATCAGGGAGAGGTGAAGGAAGTTGGAGGCAGTCAAGGTGATAAGGTGAGAGACTGAGAGAGTTGTGAACGGAGAGCCGAACTCAAGAGACCAAGGTGCGGGGTGACTGCATGGCGCGATTGAGCTCCAAGCTACGTTATCAGCTATTCTCGATAGCTCCGGCCAATGATGGAGCAAGCCACTCATGCACTTGACGCTTGGAAGAGAAAAGGCGAGAGGGTGCGATGGGATGCCGCAATCGGCTGCATCGGCCAGAAGAAGCTGGTTGCAGCGGCCGTTTTTAACGTGCGGTAGCGACGATCAGGCGGGGGAATTGGGCTGAACTGAGACTGTCTGACATGATTGCCTTGCTCGTTCATTGCTCTTACGCGACATGTCTTGGGTTTCTAGACGATGATCTGTAATTTGCCAACCAACATAAGGTAGCCAAGGCAGTCGAGACTGGGGCAGAAGAGTATGCGTATGACCCGACAACCTGGGTCTAGATGCCGCGGGAAACTAGAACAGTCCACATCAACGATCCATTCTGCTTAGTCTGGAAAGATGAAAATGAAGAAGGTATCTGGGGTGGCTGGGAGCAGGCGATGGGGCAGTAGGAGTGCTGTTTAGCTACCAGCATCAGTTCGTGCTATCAGCCACCCCCGGTCAAGTCTGTCCAATGGGCTTACACCAAAGTGTTCACATGCCTCGTCGACAAGGGACGGATAAGGAACTCTTTGGAGATGGTCCAGTAAGCTTAAAGTCTCTCGAGGCACCTTAGTCCAGCCGGGCGTCGTGGGCTAAAAGTTCGAATCTCAGACATCCAGCAAAGAACGGATCGAGTCGAGATCTGCGGTGAAGCCAGTGGCTTTGAGGAGCAAACGAAGTGTGGATACGCAAGGCAAGTCAGGAAGTCGAGACGAGGACGGAAGAAGTGTGCACAGTGAACTAAAGACGAAGAAGAGGACTGAGAACACAGTTGGTGGTTCAGTTAGGCAGCTGGTCGCAGCTGGTCACAGCTGTACTTCCCTCTTTCGCCAGCTGTGAATCCACGATGTCTTATCTTATCATCAAGGTGGCATTAGGTATCTTATCTACCTATATCTTATCTATCTCTTATCTACATCATCCCAGTGTCCCAAGAGGTTTACAGCGAACTCTCCAAGTCAACCAAATCCTTGAGCACCGCATCCTTTTCTCCCTCAAACTTTGCGCTCGCAACGAGGCCAAGCGGCCGCCTGCTCCGTCCACCACCATACCCGAAGTACCTGTCCAGCGCAGCCTTCAACCCGGCAACGCCCAGCTGTACCAGCACCCAGTCCGCCCGGCTCAGCTTCGTCTGCAACTCGGTCGCCTCCTTGAGCTTGCCGGCATCGTACAGCTCCAGCAGCTTGACGTGCACCTTGGGCGTGAAGTTGGCAGCCGCCGCGATGACGCCGTTGGAGCCCGCCACGAGCCCGTGCAGGAAAAAGTCCGACTTGCCCGCGAAC